TAATAATAATAATAAACCTCTCAGACTTTATAACTCACTTCACAGGTCCTATGCCTGGCCCATGGGGTCCGCTTGAAGTGATCCTGTCCCAGGACTTATAGCAAAGTCCCCAACGTTATTACTTAACGTTATTACATTTCATAGGCTGATGGTCCAAAGGGGTCAAGTCTAGCCCTACCCACCTTCCCGATGAGGGTCCTGAGACCCAAACTCGCCCACCCACGGGACGTGCCTCTGCAGTAGGATATCTAGCAGGCACCCGAGCCAAGCTCTCCCCCGGGCTCTCCTCAGCCCCCGCCACACCGCTTCTGAAGGGGTGTCCTCACTGCAGAACCTCTGAGGTCCAGAGGCCCAGGAAGATCTGCTCTAGGGGCTGGTTTTCTTGGCAGAGGCTTTCAAGAACATGACAGGAAATCACATTAGCAGTCAGGCTTGATGGGGTTGAGACTCAGTGAGGTGTGATGGAGGAGGAGAGAGAGAGAGATTGAGAGAGAGAGAGAGAGAGAGAGGAAGGAAGGGCACACAGATTGGGAGGGTCTTTGAGCCCTTGGCCACAGGTGCCAAATCTGGAGACTCCATGCATACATCCAGCCTGTCTGGAGCTGGTACTTAATTACCTTTTATTAAATTTTCCACAAATCCACGCTGCGAAGGCTCCAGGTAATAACAACGTCTGGGAGCCCAGGAATGGTGCGATGCCCCAGTTTTGGTCACAGGTGGACCAGGTGAGCCAGTGTGCAGGGAGCCCCTTCACCAGCGCCAGCCATCAGCTGCCCCTGCCCTGGCCCCCACAGCAGGCTGTGTCTAGGTGGGTGGCTTGTTATTAAATTTTCCACAAATCCACGCTGCGAAGGCTCCAGGTAATAACAACGTCTGGGAGCCCAGGAATGGTGCGATGCCCCAGTTTTGGTCACAGGTGGACCAGGTGAGCCAGTGTGCAGGGAGCCCCTTCACCAGCGCCAGCCATCAGCTGCCCCTGCCCTGGCCCCCACAGCAGGCTGTGTCTAGGTGGCTTCGTTTGCAGTGGGATGAGTCATTTATTAAACACCTACTGTATGCTGGGCACTACGCCAGGTGCTTTACAGATGTCACTGCTTTTCTTTCTCACAAATGCCTTCTGAGACTTTCCTTCTCTCCCTGTCTTTCCAGCTGAAGAGGCTGCATAATCAGCCCAAAACACCCAGCCAGCAGGCGGAATCCATTTCTGCTTGGTCATAAAAACCCTTCTTTCCCTGTCCCCATGGTGCATTTCTTGGGGGACAAGCAGGGACTGAAAACAGAGGCATTCTCTCCGTCCTGAGCTTCTGTAGGGAGGATGAAAGCTCATAAGGGGTTTTCTCCACCGAGGCTGAAAGGGGAAAATTGGACCAGATCATCTGGGGGGCTGCCTCTGGGTGACCCCTCAGGCTGGGACCCAGCCCTGTCTCTCAGCTGCCACATTAGCCTTATGCAATCTGAGAAAGAGCATGCCAGCTGGGGTGGGGGGTGGGGGTGGTTCCAGTGCAGAGACCTAGAAGGCTGCTGCACAGACAGCAGCGTCAGCCCAAGAGATGACCAGTATCACCAGGAAAGACAGCCAACCACATTCAAGAGATGACCAGAGACTTTGAGATGGTGAGCAACATCCTGAGAGATGGTCGATGACACCCAGAGAGAACAGCACCACCCTAAGGGACACCCAGTGGCACTCCAAGAGACCTTCATGACACCCCGAGAGAGGGTCAGTGATCTCCTGAGTGAAAGCCACCATTAGCTACGGAAGGAGCTGGGGTGCCTGAATGGACACAGTCAATCCCTGGGGACCTGACCAGCACTCTGTCCATCTAGTTTGGAGACCTAAGACTGGCAGGTACCCTGAGGAAGGTAGCACAGTGTGGCACTGGGCAGAGGCCACTCCAATGTACCCTTAATGACCAAAATCCGGTAAGTAGTGACCAACCAATTATAACCAGATTCTCTGCAAGACTCACCTTGTCCCAAATGGCAGGACTGTCAGACTTTCTGTCCTGATGTCTTTTCGGGATGGCGCAATGAGTTCTCCCTGCCTGGTCCCCACTGTCCCTGCCAAGTCCCCCAGCCTTGGACATCCCCTCTGAGGCTCTTCCTTTCCACCTGGGTTTCCCGAGCTTCCCCCTCACCCTGCCCCCAGCTCCTACAAGCAACGTTGGCATCGCCTAGGAGATTGCAGAAATCTTAAGAAACGCAGAATCTTAAGCCCCGCCCTGGGCCCTTTGAGTCAGGAATCTTCATTTGAGCTAGAAGTCCAGATGAGCCCGAAGCTTTTCAGAAGGCTCTGATCCAGCCAATCCGAATGCGAACAGTGAACCCGGTGCCATAATCCTATGCCCCCGGAGTCCCTGGCTCTTGATGCTCAGCAGAATGTGGGGGAGGGGAGCAGACTGTGTGCAAGTGTCCTGAGAGGTGGGGAAGAGTCTGGGGCAGTGGGGGCGTCACTGCAGTGGAGGGAAACAGTGTGTGTGTGTGTGTGGGGGGGTGCTGATATGGGGGTTGGGGGCCAGTGCAGGGTGGTCCTGGAGCATCAGTGCCATGCCAGAGGGCTGGGCCATGCAAGAGCCAAGCTCCCCAACTGGGGGCTGGTCTTCTGGTGGTGATGGCTGTGGGCAGGTGTCCTGCCCAGCCTGGCCTCTGGGCACCCTCTCAAGTCCCATTTCCCAGGCAGCCATTCTACCAGTCTATTATCTGTGCTGCCCCAGGCACTGGTGCTTAATTAGGGCTCGGCCAGGGCCCAGAGCTGAGAAACAAACCACTTGCTCGGTTCATGAGAGACTCTCCTCTTCCGCTTCATGGTAGCTCCGGGAGGAAATGGGGAGTCCTATGAGTGGGGAGGGGCCTGGAAAGGCTAGAGGGCTGGCAGAGGGGGTGGCGTTTTCACTAATTAAATTAACTGACTACCCAAAGTGCTAGGCAACGGGGCTGGCAGAAGCTGCCTGGGAAAGAGGTGAGTGGCAAAGCCAGGTAGGGGTGTAAACTGCGCTGTGGTGTGAACTACGCTGTGTGGGTGGCAGCCCCCAACTAGTCGGTAACCAGAGGAAGGGGTACCCATGTTACCTGTGATCTCCTCATCAATGACCCTCCCACCTTCTAGGCATACACTGCAACCTCCCTTGACCTCAGGTGAGGTGACAGGCAGAGGGGTGGCAGATGAAAGAGCGCCCTCCACAGGCCAAGACATAGGCAGATACCACCCTCTCTCTACCAGGAGGTACGGACTGTATTACTCTGGGCCCTTTTGCAGACAGATCAGGAAGCTGGGACTTAGTGAGGCTAAGTTATCTGTCCAGAGTCACATGGCACATGTGTTGGAACCAGAATCCAAACCCCAAGCCATCTGCCTCCAAAGCCCATGCAGTTCCCACTATACTGGTAAAGAGAGGACTGATGAGAAGCCGATGCTCCCGTCTCACCCTAACTCACTAGTGGAGAGAGGGAGAAGCCCCTGCTCTGGCAGATAGGGTAGGACCTGTGGGGTAGGCAGAAGGGAAGGCTGAGAGCAGCCAGCCTCTGCCCTTGAATCTTTTAAGGGTGTTGGAGGGTGGGGAGAGGGGCTGCTGAGTGTCCCCTATCAGCCAACTAGATGGAAGGTACTTAAATTAGAGCAGGAGAGATCTGGGTGAACCATGAGCTTCCCCTGACATTCCGGAGGCTCCGGCGCAGGGAGGGGGTCTGGGAGCAGCTGGTAGCCCCAGCTTTGCTGATGTCCAAGAAGGGGACAGACATTTGCTTCTCTGGGGTCGGGGGCAGTTTTCTGTCCTAAGGTAGGACACTGGCGACCTGACTTCCAGCTGCGGATACATCCAGTTGGAGACACGTCGTCCGTCTCTGGCTCCGCAGACCCAGCCGGATGGTCAGAGCACAATGTGGGTGCGATGGGGGGCTGCAGACTTCTTGCCTTAGCCGTGCTGTCCCTACTACTCCTTTCTGGGTGTCACCCATGGTCTTAAGAGTCTCCGACAGCACGGACCTGCCTTCCTGAGCACGAGTCCCATTGCCGGTCTTCCCACTGCTCTCCTGTGCACCGGGTAAGGAGTCCCCACTCCGCGGATTGCTCTGCTGGCCCACTCCACCCCCACCCAAGTCCATCTTTTCGGGCCCAACTATGTTTTCTGATCTGGAACCCTTCCTCCCTCCTTTAATCCAGAGGGTACCCTCTTCCCCAACCCCAAGACTCCCCACATTGGCTCATGTGTGAGGGCTTAGCAAGCTGGGGGCTATCTTTGCTTAGGTCAGGTCACTGGGGAGGCACACTCACCCACCGCAGCCCGGGGTGGACATGGCCTGGCCTGTGATCTGAGATGCCAGGAAGCCTCCTGCCCTGCCTCCCAAGTAACTCACCCTGCCAAAGCAGCACCATTGAAGAGCGATCATTCTTTTAGGCTAAGCTTCGCCCTATCTTTGCAGCTTCTGGGAGAGGACAGCAGAGCCCCAATGGCTCAGTGATGTGAGAGGCCAGGCAGCCTGGGGGAGGGGCTACCCAAAGCACTGAGGGCTGGGTGGGCCGCTAGGTGCGGAAAGTTGTCCTCCCACCAACAACCTTACTTCACACCAAGTACTTGGCAATGGGCAAAGGAGAGCGGGGACTCAAAGCCTCAGGTTCCTGGCTCTGACTCACTCTGGCCGTGTAACCGTGAGTGAGTCCCGCCCACTTTCTGGGCCTCAGTCTTCCTGTGGTGAGGTGGGTTGTACTAGATCAGAGTTTCTCACTTTTTCCCCATCGGAAGTTCTCCCCGCACCCGCCTCCGGCAGGGGGCAGGTTCCCAGGTCCTCCCTGGAGAGTTTAATTCACTGGTTGTTGGGTGCAGCCCTGGGACATGTATTTGAACAAGTACATGGTCCCTTCCAATTTAGATCTTTTAGGCACTGGAATTCCCCAAACTGCCTAGACCAGCCCCTCTCTCTTCCACGCCCCAGAAGCCTGGGGCCCTCAGACAGCTTGGACATCCTCCTGTCTGCCCTTGGCTTTCTGCTCACCGGTTCTTCCAGCTCCATGACCCCAACCTTCCTCAGCACCCATTGAAGGGGTACAGGGGAGAGGACAAGGGGGACAGAGAAGCAGCACCAGAAAGATAGCTATACCCGTGCATCTGTCAAATGTCACCCTTCAAGGATTATTCATTGTGGCACTGCTGGTAATCACCAAAGAGAGAATAAAGACTGGGTAAATAAATTATGGTGCATCAGCACGACAGGATATTATGTAAATGTAAAAAAAATGAAGCTGTTCTTTATGTACTGATACGGAACAATAGCCAAGATGGATAATTATGTGAAAAAGACAAGGTGTTGAACAGAGTGTAAAATATGCAACGTTTGGGCAAAAACAGAAAAGGATGTGTGTACGTAATGACTTGCATATGCAGAGAACAGCTCTGGAAGAACACTTAAGAAAGTGGCAAAATGGCCGTCTCTGGGGAGGGAATTCGGCAGCTGGGATGGGGTGGGAGGGAGGCTTTCTCTGTATTCCCATCTGTACCTTTGAATTCTGTATTATGTGTAAGCAATATCTTCTCAAAAACATTGAAATATTTAAAAGGCTCTCCAAGGGCTTTTCTGAACTGCACGGCTTCCCTCACCCTCATCCCTGATTCTGATATGGTCCCCTGGCTGGATCTGGAAGGAAGGAAGGAAGGAAGGAGGGAGGGAAGGAGGGAAGGAGGGAAGGAGGGAAGGAAGGAAGGAAGGAAGGAAGGAAGGAAGAAGGAAGAAGGAAGAAGGAAGAAGGAAGAAGGAAGAAGGAAGAAGGAAGAAGGAAGAAGGAAGAAGGAAGAAGGAAGAAGGAAGAAGGAAGGAAGGAAGGAAGGAAGGAAGGAAGGAGGACCCAGCTCATCGTATCAGCTCCATCTCCCCGGGCCTGCCTCAACATCAGCCTCTGGGTCCTTGACCCAGACTGGCCACTGGCCATGTAGCAGGCACAAACCCAGGCTGGGGACCTGACCCACCCCTCAACCGGGCAGCCTTGTGGCCAGCCTCACCTCCTCACTGAGGATCTCTTGGCACTCCGAGTAGTTCACACGGGCGGCCCAGCTGCCATTGGTCAGACATTCCCGGTAGCCGTTGTCTGGAAAAAAGGAGAGTCAGAGTGACCTGTGGTTCCTGTCCCAAATAGCAACCTAGGCACCTGTCTGTTCTTTCCTCTGTCCATCCATCCATCCATCTGGGCCAGCACAAGCGCCCGATTGCTGGGGGAAGCTAGGGAGAGGGGCTTCCATACTACTCCCATCTTCCTGCCTCTTTCTGTCCACTGGCCTCCAATAGGGGTACAGTGGTGACTCCAAACACCTGCCCATGGGGCCACAGTTCTGCCCACTCAAACTGGCATGATCATGCCCACAGACTGTCCCATGGGCAGGCTTGACCAGCTCACTGGGCCGTTTCCTTGCAAGCCCTTATGTGATGGCAGACTATGTGGTGGGTGTGCTTCTGAGAAATCTTCCAGTTTGGGGTCCACGTGGCAGCAAAAAAGATTGGTGAGATCTGATGAGTAAATTCTCACAAGGCTGGGAATGATATTTTGGAAGGGTATGTGGTGACAGCTCACGTAGCACAATGAAATGACAAGGTTTCATATGATGACTATCCGTGGTGAGTTTCCCATGGAGGGGATCCTCACATGGCCATGTTTCATGTGGGGTGGGGCTCACAAGGCCAGTGTTGGGGGAGGTCCCCGTGAAGGCATTTCCCCACAGTGGACCTTATGTTGGAAGGTCATGTGGGAAGAACATCCATGGTGGAGGTCACTTGGGACAGAAAATGACAGGTGGCAGAGTATGCTGGGGATGTCACAGAGAAAGTTTCCTTGAGTTAATTCTGGCCCTGACTCCAGGCAGCGCTGGCCAGAAACGAATTGAGTCCTTAGCCTTGTCCACTGGAGCCTCTTTCCTGCTGTAGCCTCTCCATGGCTCCTGCTGACCCTCACGTCACAGCGGGCAGGAGGAAGGCTGGGAAGCTGCCTGAGCCCTAGTCCCTGAGTCTGGCATTGCATGGGAGACAGGCAGGGCCCCAGGACTGGCTCAGTGCTGTTTTGCTGTCTGAGTGACTTGGGCCAGCCAGCTTCTTGAGCTTCTGTCCTCATGTGTATGAGGAACGGCTGATCCCCAAAAGGCCATCCAGGCTGGGAGCCACCTCTCCACTGAAACATCAGGACAACAGGGAGATGATGGGGTTGGGCACTGGGGGGAGATGCTGCTATGTCCCCGAGATAGGAAACCACAGCTTGGCCTCCAGGGCTGCAAGGCTGAGGCTCCTGTCTAACCCAGCTCCCCGGACCCTCTGCCGAGAGCCTGCTCATAGTGCAGCATGCCATTGGAGAAACGAGGCTAAATGAATTTTTAAAGCTCTGCTCAGCTTCCCTGCCAGTGGACCTGATCTCGGCGGAGTTGGTAAAGATGCTGCTGATTCTCTTCTAATTGCTAAGTGAGGGATAAGCTACCAGAGGGTTGAGGACTTAGTGACAGAATTTTCGGGGAGTTTTGTAGGGAGGTAAGACACAAGGGGACCCAGTGTCTCCACCATGGACTGGAAGTGCCTGGGATCAGAGGCTGCTCCAGAATGTCTGCAAAGAAAGAGATTGTGGGGCAGTGATCTGGGTGGAGGGGCACAAGGATGGGAGGTGAGGGTGGCGGTGGTGCAGGGGAGGGGTTCTTGCCTATGAGAGGAGACGAAAGCAGTGTTAAGAGCATGACTTATGACCCAGGCGCCTGGGTTCAAGTCCTGGCACCACCCCTTACTACCCTTGTGACCTTGGGCAAGTCCCACAACCTGTCAGCTTCCTTATCTGTAAGACGGGAATGATCTTAACAACTCCTACCTAATGGTTGAGTGATCGTTTTCAGTTAACATGTGCAGAGTGCTTGGAGCTCTACCTGGTGTGTGGTGTGAGCTCTTATTTTTATTATTATTGTCTTGGAGCTGTGTTTATATAACCTTACATAAGATTCAGAAAGTGTCACTTGTCCCTATTGAAGGGAGTACTGGTGGAGATAACGGGAGGCACCCCCTTGGCTCAAGCCCCGCTTTCACACCCCACATGTGGGGCGGGATCCTGGAGTCCCTGGAACAGGTCATCCAGAGGTGACAGGTTTTGGTGGGGAGGAAAGAAGACAGGGGTGGGGGTGGGGCCTGACGAGTCATTGCCAAGGAGGACACGACCTCCTTGTCTTTGATTGCTGAGCTAAGCAGTCCTGGAGAATCACGGGAAAATGGATATTTTTGGAAATGTTTCCCATTCCTTTGAAGATCAGAAACAGCCCGAGGGAGGGCATTAAGAGGAAGTCCTGGCAGCAGCTCATCAGGAAATGAATTAATTAGTTTTTAATGATTAGGTACAACTCCAGGTTTTCGCTTGCTACTGATTGCATGAGCATGCCCCTCACCATTCTGGCACTGGAAAACTGGAATGGGGTTCTGTCATCCCTGCCCCCACATCTAGGGACCATCGCCCCCAGCTCCTCTCCTGGGATTACAGAGGAAAGAGCGAGGGAGCCAGGAGAGCACCCCACGGATACCTCCTACCAATCCCGCAGGTGGAGCAGCCGAGGCCCAGAGAGGGCCGAGGGTTCCTCAGCCAGATACGGAGCGGAGCCTGGCTTCCACTAACAGCAGGGATGGCACATTGAGTAGCACACGCCCAGACACTGAGGTCTGAAAACATTTACTTTGGGGAATGTCAAGTCACTCTCGGGGATGAGAGTAGAGGGGGCTCATTGTGGGTGGCCAGGGCTGGCTGGAAAGGTGGGTGGGGCTGTAGCCACAGAAAGCCTGGCTGGCCCCACTCAGGAGTGTGGACTTGACCGTGGAGGCAATGGGGAGCTGTGAAGGGTGACTCCAAGCAAGGGTGTGACAAGGTCAGATGTGAAACAAGGGCTAGGCATTGGGTACCTTGGACAGGGACAGTGGCACTGGGGATGGAGGGCAGGTAGGGTTAAACATGCGAATCACTTTGGAGGTGGAATTGAGGGACCTGGTGCCTGAGGGGCAGAGGGGCCGCCTCCTGGAACCCCCAGTCATGCACCAGCCCCAGGGCTGCCTCCTTCCTGCCGGCACACAGCACTGTGAGTGGTGCCGCAGGAGGCCTCTGATTCCCAGTTTGGCTCCGCCTCTAAGCTTTGTGACCTTGGGCCATTATCAACCCCCTGCCTCCATTTCCTAATTGTAAAATGGGCCCTAAGTTGGAGGCTGGCCCGCTGTGCACCCCATGCTTTCCTCTTAGGTCCCTCTGCCCTTCCTCTTGCTGGAATAGCCTCCCCACACCCCTCCTATCTTTCTCCTTCTGTGGATTCTGGGCTGTGGTTGCAGATGTGTGAAGCCGCATGGTTTGGCTGTTCGAACTCCGACCCAACGCCACCCAGGGCCCTCCCCGCTTGGCTGCAGCCTCTAACCCTAACCCCCATTAGTCCAGCTGGTAAAGGAGAGAGGGGCAGGAGAAACTTGGGAGTTTTGATGTGGACAAAGTCTTAGAAGCCATACCGTCCAGCCTTCTCCCTCCTCAGACAGGGGCCAGAGGGATATAAGAGGAGAAACTTGTGCTAAAGGTCACACAGCGTGTCTTGGAGTAAAACATATGGTATCTGTGGTCACCCTCTGTACCCTCTTGGGGCTCTGAGCTCAGGCCCACCAGACCCTGAGGGCCCACCTGGGGCCCCTACCCCCCCCTGCACAGGTCATGGCACCGGCCTACAGCTACTGCTCTCTTGATAAGCAGAGGCTGTGAGTCATTGACAGGGGAGAGCAAATTAATTCTGAGGGTGACAGGTGGCATAGCAAGGAGCTGCAAAGCCTGGAGGTAGAGGCTCAGGGCCTCAGGGGAGCGAGGTGTTTATATGAGGATCAAGTATCTGAACAGACCTAGGTCTGTCCTTCCCCACCCCCTCCTCACCTGTGAGTCTGAATGCAAGGCCAAGCCCCCTGGCTGTGGATCCAGAACTGAGTCCCCTACCTCCTGGCTGGAGGGCCCTGGGCAGGCTTCATAAGATCTCTGAACTCAGGGTTCTCATCCCAAAGTTGGGGCTATTCTGACAAGTCCTGCCCTACTTCATGGAGATGTTGGAGGCTGAAGCCGACTAACCCAGTCTGTTTACTGCAGAAGAAAGTGTCAGACAGACCTGAATGCAAGTCTAGCTTCACCTCTTACCAGCTGGTGACCTTGGGCAAGTTCCCTAACCTCTGAGCCTCAGAGGCCTTAGTTATATAATTAGCATCATAGAGTTATATATAGTGTCTTCCAGGGATATTGTGAGAATCAGCCCGATGAGCAGAGTGCCCTGCAGAGCAGAGCTGGCCTTTGGTAAATGGAGGCTGTACCCGCAAAAGGTATCGGTATTGTCATTATTATTATTATTTCCTCTACCTCCAACAAGTCTCAAGCTCTCCCCCATCCTGTGCTACCTCCCAGAAGATGGTCTGCCCTCCACATGCTCCCTTACTTGTGGTGTTGTAGCGGACACCGTAGAAATAGGCAGGGCAGGGTCGAACCACAAGCTGCCCTGCAGGGCTCCGGGGCCAGCAGGTACCAATGAGGTCCACGGATGCATTGCATTGCAGTCCTGGGGGCAGAGACAGCCAGTGAGGCAGAGCAAGATCCCCACTCCCGTGTCCTACCCACCTCCCCACTGTCCCACACTCACACACCGATTGTGGACAGAACAGGAGAAATGACCTCAGTGCAAAGATGAGCTCGTCCTATGCCAAGGAGACACCAGGGTAAGGAATCTGAATTTGATGCTATGGCACGAGGGAGCCAGAGGAGGTTCCAGAGCACAGGAAAAGAGAGAGCAGGAGGTGGTGTTAAAAGCTGAGGTCCTGCCCGGCATTTAGAGGAAGGCTGGACCTGCTTCAGCTCCCTGCTCTGTAGCCAAAGGACCCTTCTCTCGGCACCTCACTTGGTGCAGACTGGAGATCTTAGACTTCACAACTTGGAACAGACCCAGCCAACTCCTGATCCAGGCCCCCTCATGTCTCTGGAACCAAACCGTATCTGCTCTGGCCCTGCAGGAAGGAACCAGCTCAGTGAAGCTGGCCTACCTTGCAGCTGGCCTGATGACCACATTTACTGAACATGCATTGTGCTCTGGTCTATGTTGTGCCCTAGGAGAGGACTGGCTGAGAAGGGGGCCACAGGGAGAAAAGGGAGGGAGACACCATCGCCGGGAGTAGAAAGGGCACTGAACCAGGAGTCTAGGACCCTGGCTTCAGACGCAGCTGTGCTTCTAATTTGCTGTGTGACCATAGGCAAGTCACTTGCCTTCTCTGGGCCTTAGTGTCTTTATAATAAAATAAAATGGTTGGATCTGATCAGAAATTCTTAATCTCAGATCACTGAAAATTTTAAGGGTTCATAGAGACTCTACAATTAAATGAAAAAATTGATCTATACATGCATTTTACCTGGGAAGAGGACCATAGCTTTCATTAGATTCTCAAAGGGGCCTGTGACTCGAAAGAAGATATAAACAGCTGAATTAGAAAGAGGATGTCAAAGTCCCCTTCCAAATATTTTCCCTTAATTAAAAAGCTTTTTGAAGAGTGTGTGTGTGTGTGTGTGTGTGTGTGTGTGTGTGTGTGTGTGTTAAGACAGAGTCGAAGCCACAGTAATTCCTCTTCCTCTGGAGGGTTAGAGGGCTTTTGCTTTCCAAAGAGTGAAGGTTGGGCTGCGGACAGTTGTGGCAACCGTCCTGAAGCTGCCCCTTCTTTTCCTGCCAGGAAAAGCCGTGAACCAATGCGGGTGCAGCCTGTTCAGTGCTGGGTATCAGCAGCTGCCAAGCCCTGGCTGAGGCCGGCCTGCCATCTCCTCCCCAACTTAGTCTGTCCCCAGTCTCGCAGAAGACAGCGCCGGGTTAGAGTGATGTCCTTTCTCTGCTGGATATGGGGCAGTACTGAGCAGCACTTGCACAAATGCTGTTTTTTCTTTCTAATCAAAGCTATTCATAGGGTGCCCGTGCAGATCAGGGTTCAAGGGGCAGAGGCCTTGAGGCCAAGTGGTTTAATCGAAAGAGAAAGACATCTAGGCAGGAGCCTAATAGATACAAGTAGATGGCAGGCCAGGCGGCTGGGGTGGGCCAAGCCCTAGCACTATGCCACAGTAGAGCATCTGTGAACGGCATCACAGGGATGGTTGGGGTAGAGGAGTGAGGAAAGCAGGTTGAGATTTTAATCTGTCATGGGTCGTGTTGATAGTGCTGAGCCTGAAGGAGGGGAGAAGCCGGAGGCGTGAGGCCATGGGGAGGGAGGAGTAATATTACAAACTGTTTTGCTTTTTCAAAGCCTCTCTTCATGTCTTTTGTGTGATCTGCATCGACCCTACAATGTCATTATTCCATTTTTAAAGATGAGAAAACTGAGACCCAGGGAAGTTAAGCGACTTGGTCAAGGTCATGAGTCAATGAGTAAAGTGTTTTTGACTCTAAATCAAGTGTTCCTTCTATTACACCGCATTTCATGCCAAGAAAGGGAGAGGCGACAAAGAGGAAGTAGGGAAGGGAGCAGCTTTTACTGAGGGCTGATTGCATGCCAGGCACATGCCAGGTGCTTTACATATACTATTTGATTTAATGACACTATTATACCTTCTTCAGTAGGCTGTTCATTCATTGATTCACTCATTCACAACACGCTCTGAGCTAGACTCTGGGAAGATTAAATGTGATGTCATGTGTGGCAGCACCTAGAACTTGCCTCACACCCTCTTAGTCTGTGTAGCATCTGCTCTCCCTCTCTTCCTTCTCCCTTTCTTTCCAGCCTTGCACAGTTTCTCAGAGCCCCTTCCACAATGAACAGAGGACAGGGCTGGACTGGGCGTCAGCCACAGCCAGGACTAGGCCAGAGCCAAGGCAGGGACCTGCCGCTGAGCAGATGGCTCTCCTGGCCTGGAGAACCAGGCACCAGGCAATGCCCAGAGCTCTACGGCAGCCCATAGCTGGTCTGGGTTTGGGGGTTGGAGTGGCCAGGGCGGCTGCTCTTTGCCCCGAGACTGTGGCTCGCATTAGGATTCCATAGCATCTACTATAGGTCTCACACCACCAGCCAACGTGGTTGCTAACTCTTCCTGTTTTACAGATAAGGAAACTGAGGTCCAAGCAGTTAAACTGCTTAACCAAAAACATAGACATTAAGAGGCAGAAGTGAGTTTTGAAACGATAGTCTTTTGACGCCTGCCCAGGGCTCATCCCAGCCTGGGCAACTGGCCCTCGCAGCATTTGGTTTCACCCGACCCCGCAGCCTGGGTTTCTCCATGTCATCATGCCTCTCTCCCTCCCTCCCGTTACCTCCCTCCCCCACCTCAACCCCGCAGCTGCGTGGAGGGGGTGAGACAGAATGCTGCCGCAGACATGACCTTTACATTAAAAGCCCAGAAAATCCTGGAGAGAATGAAAGACTGTGTGAGAAATGAGAAGAAAGGGAGAGAGAGGCTGCAAGAACTGAATACAAGAAACCAAATGCAAAGGGTCAGGAGACGAAATTCTCCCTCCCTTCAGAATAACAGGCCAGGGCAACCGCGCGGGGCCTGGAGCTGAGTGGGCAGGATCCGAGGGAGGGGGGGAGTCAGACAGGGCGAGGTCAGAGTTACGAGGGCCAATCAGGAGCGGCGGCCGGGCTCAGACTCGGAAATACCAGCTAGAAAGTTCAATAAGGGGTTTGGCTGCGTGGTTTTAGGGAGCTGGCTGAGCAGGGAGATGCAGGGAGGGAAAAGAGGG